TGTGATCTCCATCTAAAAGCATGGAAATTTATTGATTTTGTCAATGTTTTACAAATACAAATTTTTCCACATATTTTATGAAAAACAACACACCTATAGTATTAATTAATTAATCTTTATGTAAGGTATTGGTTGTGATAAAAAAGTCAGTGTCATGAGCGGAGGGCCATTGAAAAATGGCAAAAAGGAGGGAAAATTCGAAAGGTGGGTTGAGATGGGAAGTTGGTGTCCGAGTGGATCGAAGTCACAATAGCTCAAGTGGTAGAGCAGAGGCATATTTAGCCGAAGGTTAGGGTTCGAATCCCGCTCGTGCCACTGACTTTTTCACCTCAACCAATACCTTACATAAAGATTAATTATTTGAATAATGTCACTCGGTCAATCGGACCATTAACTTTAATATATAGTATTAAAAGTGAAGATGAAACTCCTAGTTGTTTTTCATGTGATGGGGTACTTATTGAATGTCTCAACCTCTTTCTTCATTTTACATTTTATTACCTACATATATGTATTTCGGGACCATACCGTTCCCCTTCACAAGATTTGAAAAGAGGTACCGGTATCGGTCCCGAACTAGGCAATAAAACGTGAAACGAAGAAAGGGTCTAAAGCCATGTTAAGATTCTTATAATTTATTAATGATGAGAGTAGATAACTAAGGAAAGGTATATATAATATGGGTCTGTATCATTGGGGAATTCGGACAATATTGTTTAAGGGATCATGTAGAAGATGGTTTTGTTATGTGGAATATAATGGGAACTCGGAAGGATATGCGACATAATTGATAAGAGGGATTCTTCATTTATACGAATTATGTAATTTATGGAAAAGAACCAGCTCATTTTGTTGCCGTCTCACTTGCAATGACTGTACATTGACCTTATGGTTATGATATTAAGTTGCTAGGCTAGTTGTTATGCTTTTGGTGTGAATAATTAAGAATTCACATGAGGTGACACATTCTGTCATGAGGCGGTCAAAAATTAGCTCTTTAACTTTTTTATTATAAGGAAAATGTTTATTTATTTATTTACAACAACTTGACAAATTAAATTGGGTTTAAACTACTGGCTCAAGACTAAATTGTTTGTCATTGCATTCGTACAAAACCCATTGTCGGTTCGAAGTCGGTGGAACATAATTGTGAACGATTTTTAAAGGTCCCAGCGCTTCTTCAGCTTTGTGGGGTCAAGTGCCTGGGAGGGCTTCCTTCCCGCCTATTGTTGTGTGTTTTTCTCCAGCAAACGACTATCATATGTTAACATAAAGGACCCTTCCAGCCTTCTGATTTCCGCCCCAAGACAGGTTTTCTTTTTCCCCTTGAAATGTACATCAATTAAACAACCCCCTTGTTAATAATAATTTGTCGACCAAAAGGATAAAAAAGGGCGACATTTTTAAATTTTTAACTCTCATCATAATTTTGTATTTTCGTTTATAGTACTTTATTTTAAAAGTCAGAAACATGGCCAATTAATGCTTACATCGAGAGATACATCGAAAAATAGGACAGTAACAAGTATTAAAACAGTCGGTTCGCCTTAAAAATGCAAAACGTAGAAGAGAGTGCACATAGCAACAAGGAGGCGCCGACCTGTCACCCGGACTTTACAAGTTTGGAAGGCCTTCCGACCTGAAAACTAGGGTGGCGACCGACTCCTTTCTCTATTAATTGCAATGCCCACACACAAGAGCACAACGGCCATACTCAACAATTTGTCCACTCTGGCTCAGGTACGATGGGCGCCTTCGTTATCTGTCAAAAATAGAGATATTGGGTGTGGTCCTCGCTCTTTCACGCGAGGAACGTATCATCAGTCTAGATCTTAAGGACAATATAATTGAGAAAATGCTTTCTCGGAATGTCCCGGTGAAAAAAGGGTTAACCGCACTAATTTTCCATCCTGTACAAACGACCGACTCCTAAGTAACAATCGTATACGAACTTCCCTACTTTTGACCAGAGAATTTAAGAATAAACAATAAATGACACAAGAGGTCGTAAATTTCTACAGAATATCATTTTATAAATATAATCATTTTTTAATGAGTAGTTAAGAAAGAAAACCAATACAAATGTGCCACTCAATTTATTCAGTTTCATAGAAATTTAGGATTACCATTAGTACTGATATAAAGTATTGAAAGAAACACCGATCTACAATTTTGTTTTTAAAAAATATGCATGATTTGCGTAAATGTAAAAAGGTAGGCTTTTTGGATTTACTAATGATACGGAAATAAAGTACATTATCTAATGTCAACCTTTTTGTTTATTAAATTCAATAGTTTTCGTGGTCCGCTTGACCAAATAATATCTTTCAATTAATTAATCTGTATTTAAGGTATTGGTTGAGATAAAAAAATCAGTGTCACAAGAGGGGTTCGAATCCGAAACTTCGAAACTTTTTGTTTATTATTTGGAGATCGTGAGATGCGGTCTGGTGTGACGTAGGTTTTAGAAAAAGATTTTCTTTATCGTGCCAACGTTTCGATCTTTATTGAGATCATCTTCAGGGCTCGCAGCACGATAAAGTAAATCTTTTTCTAAAACCTACATCCCACCAGACCGCATCTCACGATCTCCCAATAATCATTCACTATCGGTCACTAAACACCACAATTTTTTTTTCGAGGGGTCGCAACAGCAGAATAAACCCTCAAACCCTCAAGTGCCGGTGTTTTTGAGAAAAAAACTCATTTCTAAGAATGTTGGGTTCGAATGCAGGGCCGCTGGATTCGCACCCGGGACCTTTACCTTACAGTGATGAGCGCCGTGTCCAACGCCTAAACCGTTGCGGCCACCGACGCCCCCAATGTCAACCTTAAACACTGAAATCCCTAAAATACCATAGTAATGGTAATGATTTTCTGACAATCACGTCTTCTATGTAGCGAAAAAAAATTTGATAAAATTTTCGCTGTCCTGTTCTAAAGGTTCTTGGTCGTAGTATTCATTATTGTTTAAAGTACAGGTAAACTCTGATTGACAGAACGTTTGCTAAACAGTTGGTAAAGGTAAAATGAGTGCAGCAAAGAATATTACACTCATTGCAACATGACCTTTGAGAGACCGAGGACGTTGGGAAGTTACATATAACACAATATGCCCACGCGAAAATATTGTTAAACAAAAATAAATATGCGGCACGATGCAACTATACTACGAGTTTAAGGTCCTTAAAGGTTCTCAGAACTTTTCCCTTTTTCTGTTGAACAATTTCACTTCATGCTGGGTAAAATCAAAGATGGTATTTACAAAGAATCATACAACCGAAATCTGTACCCTATAACACCCAATGAAAAACTGATATTGCGTTGTGTAAGTAACTATCATTATTATTGTACAGTTTGAAATTCGGTTGTTTTGCATTTGGAAACAATCTAATAAATATTCAATAAAACCAAGAATAGTAAAAAGTATGTGCATCAAATTAATTTTGATGGAATTTATAAATAATAATAAAATAATATAAAATAATAAAATACAATTGGTATAAAAACCGAAATACTGCATGGTTACATTACTTGTAAAAAATTTCATCTCCATGTTGATGACCGAAGTTTTTGGGGGTTGTTTTTTTTTACCTTACCCCCCAAAAAAATAAATAAATAAATAAAAAGGTTCAGCCATTTTCGTCTGTTTTATCACACACTTTACTATTGTATTGACAACGAAAAGCTACTTTTCTATCTCTATTTTCATGAATAATAAATTAACGCGATTACAACGGCAGCACTAAAAAAAACCCTATAATCTACATTGTAAAAACGAAATTCTCTTTAACGAAATATTTAATATTTTTAACGAAATTTTAGCAAGAAAGTGGGAAGCGAAATCGCTTTTTAAAAAAGTGTGTGTTTTAAACTATTAAGAAGAAATAAATTTAAAGGACACTTTCTATTTTTTAATTTAGATTGAACACTTCTTATCAAATTGAAACTATAATGGTAGTGAATTTTAATTGATTTCCTAACGAAGAAAATAGGGAGCGCCGGTGGCAGTAACGATTAAGTTGAAAAATTGAAGACAACCACCATTTTCACAACTTGAAAAACATGGAGAAAGGGCAGTTTTATGAAGCACAATTGGCAGACGTTATAAATTAGCTGCCATCTTACAAATAGCTTCCCAGCTATTATTCAGAGGCATAAGAGGATGATCCAGTGAAGATTCCATGTCCGGGGTTTCTAGAGTAGCGTAAAAAGACACCTTAAATAAGGAAGGACTTGTAGAGTATAGTATTTCGAGGTCCTCACAGCGGACAAAACAAGACATCGGACCGGTCACAACACAAATCCATTTCAACGAATTCTTCATCTACATCTAGTTAGAAAAGCGAAATCAAGCATAAAATTCTTAAATACATTTATATCTTTCTACTGCTCACTGGTTGACAAAATAATCGCTTTTTACTTTGTAAACTAGGATTTTATTCAAACAAATACAAACGCTAAAAACAAAATTTATATCTTACTCACCTGTAATCAAGTAATTATATTTATTTATATCGTTTTGTATTATTACACATACACCTCAAATCAAATATCCTTACTTTGTTTTTGAATTTTAATAATTTGATAACTATATTCTATAAACTTCCGTGGAGAGCTCTACAGAATAACACAATTGCTGAGAAATGACTTTCCTTCTTTTAGAGATTATCTTTAAATTTCATTAAGATCAAAAATTTACTAGTTATTCCACGCAAAAAATCAAAACCGTTCTCACGTGTGATTTGTTGATCTTAAGCAGAAAATATTAAAGACTTTATGGTAAGAAAGTTCGAAGAGCGGCTTGTTTAAAAGACAGCCCCTAAAAAGGATGAAGGCAGTAAAGGTGTAAGGGACATATAAAAGGAACCAGGTTCATTCATAAACCCGAAATGAGAGTGGGGCTCGACAGTTTTAATAGAGCGACCTTTCAGATTTCGTAGAAAAACGACAACAAAAATCAACCATAAGAATGTTAAATTTAAATTGTAAAAACTCACTTTTTTCTTGGTGCCAGTTTAGGAGTGGACGGAGTATTCACTGAAAAAAAAAATATGAATTTAATGCTCACAGTAAAATTTAAATAAAATAATTCCTGTGATATAAGGACTTAACGTCCAACTACCATCCATTAGTGTCACGGACAAGGAAACGGAACACACATTAAATAAAATTGAAAGTTTGGATAAATTAATTGTAAAGTGATAAAATATAAGAATAAATGAATATAATAATTAATTCTGGTGTTCGTATTGGTGGTGATGGGAATATCGGTCAATGGTTGTTGGAAAGAAAACGACTTCGAATCTTTGTTATTGTTGTTTTCTTTCCAACAACCATTGACCGATATTCCCATCACCACCGATACGAACACCACAATTATATTCAACGGTCATCACAAGTTACATAATAATTAATGTTCTAGAAAAATGAAAAAGGAACTATATTAATGACGTGAACTATAGGCCGCTAACATTTCAAAGAAGTTCGCTAGTACGGAAAAGAAAGTACTATAACATTTTGAATTCGCTAAAAGCCATTGGTGAGAGCCATAACAAATAAATTAAATAAATAAAAACTCTTTTTTTTAATAAATAAAAAACTTGCAGCCACACGGTAACAAGTTTTTTCGGCCCTTTCTTCCTTTTACAAGGCAACTTGCCCCAACTCGATTTTAATACGGCTGATATTTTCCTTATATATGTGATTTTCCGTTGTCCACAAACATTCGGCATATTGCATTCGGCTCACAGTAATCTTTAGGTTTTATGTCTAACTTTGAAGATGAACCGTTTTGAGTACTGACGGTCATATCTCGAAATTCTACGCTTGGTAAAATTTATTAATAAATGAATGCTGATGATGAGCTTTATAGCCCGAAACGATATCTGTAAATAAATCAAACTGTCGCGGAATACCTGGTTTCCTTCAACCTTAATATTCTATCTCAATGAATAAATAAAAAAGGAAAATAAATACAAGATTCTAGCATGGATATCGGTAATGAGGATCCCTCCTCGGGCCAAGTAAAAAGTAAACAATGTCTATAAATTTAGCAAATCGATGACCTTGCCAATGTTTTTGTAAATGGAACATATTAAGGAGTGAATACATTTGCGAACTATAAATACACAAAATTAGCATGGAGCCCAACTCGTAACGTTAGTAATTAACTAATTAGTTATTAATAGTTACAATTGGTAATTAGTAATTAATTCAATTAAGTTATTAAGAAGTAACTGAATGACGTTTGAAATAAATAAAATTTGGACTTTTTTTAAACCCTAATAAATCTTAAACAACAAACTCTACAATAAAAATGTCCGAAATAAAATCTTCGCACAAGTCATAGAATTTAATTCAATATTCAAAATGATACCTTCTCATTTGAAAAAAAATTGCTGAGCCCTGGGTACGTATCGTACGTTGAAAAAAAAATTTGACTTCAAATTCAGATTCTACGTAAAAATTATGTAAAGACCAATTATGTATTTTTTATAATTATTTCCAAACCAAAGAAATAAAAGGGTAGAAGTTAATAAATAATGGTACACAGAATTTCGACTGGAGCTGAACGAAGAGAAAATTTACGGCGTTACCACTAGGCTAAGCCATCACAACTCCAACGGTTCGGCGCTGTAGTTTTACCGACCATGGTTTTCATGTTTTCTTTCAATTGCCCCTCTATATAATAAACTGTTTACGTTTGTTGAATTATTCTTTTGTACGAACCATCCCTAAAATGTGGTTAAAAATTCAAAATCATTACGCCAGCAGAAATCACTCTTCATTACCTATCTTCGATCAGGCCTGAGCATTTAATGAAAAAGACCGACATATAAAAGTAATAGATGTAGTAATTAATTGGAAGTGATTCACAACGAAAAATTGGAGCACTCCCAACTGATGAATGTTATTTGATAGTCAAAACAATAAAAAAATCGATTTATACTGAATAATCAATTTCCCTTAACCAACCGATCGACAAAAATTGTAAACAATGCTTACTTATGCTTCAACTGATGTCTATTTACATCGTGCACCAGTCTTTCTTATAGTTGGAATTATCGAAGAAAATATGCTTATTGTATATAAACAATAAACTGAAATATTGACTAAAAGTCTCAGAACGTATTAATGACGTAACATATTCAATAACGTGTGAACAACTGTAATAATTAAATAAAGATGTAAGACTAAAAAAGTATAAAACGCCCAGTCGAAATAACGGACTAGATCCCAAAAATAATCACAAGTCGCCGGTTAAGAAAACATAAGGTACTTAGCCATATGTAACTTACCAGTAAAACACTGGGGCGTTATGCTCTTTAATCGGGCTCTCACCGTGACATTCAAGGGAACAGTCTTGTTCCGAATGAGAAATTAGCCGTTTATAACGTCGAAAGAAAGTTTTAGTCTTCAACGAAATTAATTGATTCTGTTTATCCATCTCTACCATCCAGCTTTTCGTAATTTCATTGGTAAATTGTAAAGTAGATTGTTGTTGAAACTACAATCTATTTTATTAAGACATTAAATACCAATATAATACTGGCAGAAGTATTTTTAGAAAATTTTGAAGATCTGTTCAACCGGCACAGGGTCACTTAATGGGTCTGTCGCCACTCGTGTTGTTTTAAGTTATTCAAACGCGTTTCGGCATTGCGCCATCTTCAGTGAGGAACACAAAATTTTGAACAGAAATACTTCCCCGAAATTATGGCAAAACAAATCACACACATATACTGATACGTATACAACATACTCCCAATAGTAAACATCAACAACAACAATAGCGTAAACTTCATACTGACCGACTGAATTCACTACACAAAAACATAAAATGCACCGCAGAAAATGAAACAACCTACATTATAAATATCCAACAACACAGAAAACCAACAGCAACTGACAATATCATACAAGCAGACTCAAACCACCCAACCCGACACAAAATGGCAGCACTGAAATATATGATAGAGATAGAATGAGAGTGAGAGAGAGACAGTATTTTTTAATCACAAAATGTCTTTTTCCTGAGGCTTTAACATGTCATTTCAGACATGAACTTATGCTCATCTGCTGAATTTACTCAAGTAAATTAAGAAATACAACAATACATTTGATTTCATCAAATTAATATGCTAAGTAAACTATCAAATAAATTAAATGATTTATTTAATAAATATATAAATAAATAAAAATAATCAACTGCAATATGTTACAGCAAAGCAATATGATAATTAATTTTTTAAATAAATAAACAGTTAAATAATTAAATAAATAAATAGTTACAATATATCCCCAGCATACCTAATACAATAATTTAAAAAGCAACGTACAATTAATATTTAAATTATATTATTAAATTATTTCTATATCTTAATTCTTGCTTGACAAATTGAAATAGGGTACATCGATTTTTCTAATTAGGTTTGCCAAATATTCCTGGTAGTTCAGTTTAACCTTAAGAAACGAGTTTAATCGGAACTCTTTTAGTATTGGGCCTGTAAGAAAAAAGTACAAACTAACTAATTCCACAAATTAAGCATAAATACAGCGCTAAAATCCAGGAAAAAATAGGAAAATTACTAAGACAAAATATCGACAGACATATATGGACTAACTAGAAAAACGGAATAACACACGAATGTGGAGTCAAATACATCGTACAGACAGGAAGAAAAATTAAAGACAGATAGAAGGAACATATCAAATTATTTAGGGGCAACAAAGGAAAATCGAATTACGCGACCCACCAAATAGAAAACAATTAAGAACCATCGCCAATGCAAACAATTATGAAAGTACTACACAGCGTAAAAAAGGACAAAACGAAGATATTAAAAACTTAGAAATATGCAAACAGAACACATTGAACATTAAAAAATTCATAAATTCACAAATTAACAATAACTCACAAACATCATTTACACCTTTTAAAATATTACACAAATTAAAAGGATCGAAGATCAAAAAGACCGACTAAAACAACTTTAAAAAAAACTTAATCCATCAATCACACATAGCTCCACACACAATCCACGAAAACCTCGCACTACAAAAATCATCCAAACACTGAAGATGAAACGCGCCTGACTGGTAAAAATCAAGGAGGATAGAAAGACCAAGATGGCAGACAATCAAACATAGGTTTATCACCCCCCAGACCACAGGATCACACTACTAATATAATATCCCTATGGTTTTTTTATACTCTAAAGTATAATTTTCTAAATAATTATAATTGGATTTGCTTTGTTTTTACCTTTTGTAATTTTCTTTAAAAAATAAATAAATCGTCACGTACAGATTGACAACACAAATAGAAATTCCAACAACGTAAGAAATTGTAAAAACTGAACATTTGACCGAAACGGAAGGAAAAGAACAGGCCAAATACAATTTTGGCATACAGAAAAAATGTCAAAATGTTATAATGTAAACTGTGACTTTCCTTCGCCAATTCCTTCGGAGAGACGCCGTTACGCGAAAGCGCCGATATTGGAGATAGGCAAAGTTCCACCTTTGAACCCATACTACTACTGGAACTTAACGGTCGAGAGCAAATAAATGTAGAGGTTGGCAGAATAAGATTTCTCAGAAAGCCTCATTTCCGAAAGAAACCTTCTACTGGAAGTCTAGCCGAGGACGCTGAGACAGTGCCTGTTTGGAACAGTCGGTTTGAGAACAAATGCGCCTAAGCATTCTGATCGATAGAGGATCTGGAATGATAAATTTAGTATATTTTTAAACAATTATCCATCGAAAAATCAAACAGTCCAAGAAAAGAAAAGTGCTACGATCTTATCTTAAAAACATCGATTTATTTTTAAATGGTTATCAAAATATGATGAGCAAACGTTATACAATTTTCACTTTCTCCGTTAAGTGATCAGAAATTCAGAAAGCGTATGTCAACATAACTGTACTGAAAGTAAAATGGCATTGCGATCTCCGAGCGGTTGGGGGTGATGAGGCGGGATAAACAATCGGCATCTCACCTGTCCGTTCGAACCCCACCTCGGTGTAGAAAATCA